ATAAGTCGTAATGTCTCATTAATAATTTTAATAAATTTAGCGCTGCCTTATTTTCTGATAGTTCTTTTGATTCTGCTGTTTGGATTACCATATGTTCTAATAATACAAGTTGGGTTGCAAAAAATTGTTTTGTATTATAATATTTATTTTCGTATGAGTATTTTTGGGGTGGTGGAAGACCATATCTTATTGTAAAGTCCTGTAAAATTTTCATGTGGTTTAATATTTCTAATGTGTTTTTTCTTGTTTTTCTAACCTTTTGGTCGTTGAGTGGATTTGCATAAGCGTTTTCCATTCCCCTGTTTTTAATAAAAAAAAAAATTTATTTAGAAATTTTTTTTTTTTTTTTTTTATATATATATATGTATATTTATATTTTATTTTGGGGGGTTTTTCTTCGCGATTTTGTTTTTTTTTGTTTTTTGTTTAGATGAGGTAGAGGGCATAGATGAGGTAGAGGGGTTAGGTGAGGCTGAGCTCATGGAAGATATTTGCAAATTTCGTAAGAAAGCATCAAGATTTTCCAGAGATCTAGCTCGATCTAGTGATTTTATTACCTTAGAGGCTGCTATATTTTTTGAGGTTTTTTCATCATTTGAGATTCCTACTTCTGTTATATCATTAACCTTGCAGGTTACTATCCAAGTTTTAGGTTTTGTTTGTAATGTTGTTATCATATAAAAAGGGACAGGAATGTTTTCATTAATACATTGGTGAAATAACTCTAATTGTTTAACAGGGTATGGACTTTCTGGTATGTCATTAGTAAGTATTTCGTATAAAGCGCGAGCAGCACTGTCTCTAGTTCTAAACTCATTTTTACCTAAGCAATTTACTTGAATTTGGTTATAGAATATTTCTGTAAAAAATTGATATTCGTTGTTCCTGTCAAGAGTCATTGTTTCTTTGTATTGTACGGGAGGAATATTTTGTGTGTGTGCATATTGGTCTACAAGTTTTTTGTAGTCTATGTATGCCATTTTAAATGTTTACTGTATAGTGATTTGTTAGTTTTTGGTTTAATTGTGAGTATGGGCACGTGTTGTTAATTGTAATATTTTCTTCGTTACCTTGATTTATTTCTTTAAAAGGAATTTTTTCCTCTGATTGGTTTACGGTTTCTGTTGTTTTTGATTCTTGTAATTTTACGATTTTTTCTTCTTGTGCCTTCTGTGATGCCAAATGTAATAGGAGATTCGTTACTGAGTCCCAGAGGGCACCTATAAGATGAATAGACCATCCGAATAAGTTATGTAATGCGTAACCGTGTATAATTGTATCCGCTATTAGTTTTATTCCCCTTATTATTATAAATATTCCGATTAAACCCGCGCTAGTATTTCCAAAATTAGAGAAAATGACCCAAAATCTACCCCACGCTGATTTTGCAATTTTATCTAAAGTTTCGTCGTCAAGAAAATTTATTAAAGATATTCCCTTTTTATTTATAGGTTCTCCCACTATTCCTCTAGCTATTGTATTTAAAATCAGAGGTTTCTCAGCTGGAAACATAATATGGTACCTTAGTTTATCAATATCACTTTGGGAATAAATACCTGCTGTTGCTAATGATGCTGGGTTCGTGTATTCCCAGGTTTCTTTTGTTTCTGGTTTCATTATATGAGGTTCTCTTGTTTTTGTTGGTGAAGGGAATAGTTTATACCATGAATCACCTAAAAGGTACATTTGGGGTAGGAAGGTGTTACAATGTGTTTGTGTTCCTTTGGATAATAAAAGATGGGTTCTAGGTGATAGGAAATATGATTCGTTTTTCCAAGTTACTGGAAGTTGTTAGTAGCAATTTTTTGTTTTTCTTATTTTGACATCTATTGGGACGCATTTTACGATATGAACTACTTCTCCAGCGATTACAGCCATGTGACCTGGTTCTTTCATTAGATGAAACGCGAATTCATCTGGAGCTTGTGTTGCTAAAGCTAAAGAATTTGTTAGTACCTTTTGTTCTAATTTGCATTTGTGTTGAAGAATGTCATGATAAAGATTTTTCATTTCTTTTCTTGTGTGCCTTTCTGTGTATACAAATTTTGAATTTACATATGTGAATATATCCATGTTTTGTACCTTTAATTTTTCTCTTTTTATAAATGTATTTGTGGGTGTTGTTTCTAAAATTAAAAGTTTTGGGTGTTCTGTTTGTGTAAACATGTATCCGCAAACAGGTGTTTTACTTTTTTCGGTTAGGGAAAATACTATTTCTTCTGTTGTTAGTGAATAAATTGTTTCAGAATTTTTTGTTGATTGATCGAAGGTTTTATTTGCTGGACCTTCGTAAAGAACTCCGTATTTTTTAGTGTCGCACATGTCTTCGGGTAATGTGTTCCAAAATGTTTGTCCTCCTTCTATATCTGTGCATTTACCTTGTGAAAAAGTACAAACTGTGCCTGAATTTAAATGTATTTTATCTGAATTAAGGCTTATTGACGCTTCGTATTTTTGTAATGTTATTGTGAACGCGGCTTGAACTACTACGTTTTCCCATGTTCCATAGGAATCTGAATATTGTGTACCTGAACAACCACCGTTATTTTTTATTCCCCCTGCTAGTGTTACACTACGTTGTGTCGTTCCGTTTCTTGCTATTTGTGTTATTTGGAGATTAGGGCTGATTGAAATGGCTCCTGTGGCGTGTAATGTTTCACACTGATCTTTTGATATTTCATGAAGGTATGAACTAAGACCGTTTGTTACAGCTGAAATGTGTGAAAACATTCCACAATAGTGTATAGTTCTAAGAACTTCCACCTTGCATTGGATTATATCTGTGTGTGTAAATTCACTTAATTGTAAAAGTTGTATGTGAATCTGATCTATTTTTAGTTTAGGTATGGGTAGATCGCAATCTCCTACCTTTAATAACGATAATGTTGTTATATTAGATTGGGCCGCTCCACAATCATATCCGACGATGCCAAAAACAGTTGGTGAATAGATTGATACTAATATTAACCAAACTAATCCTCGGAATTCCATTTCTGTAAGAAAATGGTTCCGGTTAATTATAAATTGGGAATTTAGGTAAATAAAGATAAGTAAATTATAATATATATGTTAAAGAAGAATTTTTTTTATTGTTCGTTGGTATCATTGTCAATTGTACAAAATGCCTTTTTATAATAATTGATAGTTCTATCTTCACCGCCTATAATAAGTTTACGTTGGAACTGTGTCTCAAATAAGTTACATACAACACTGTTATGCCAATCATGTTCGTTGTCTGTAATGCAAATGTCCACATTTTTATACGTATCGTAATTAGTCCATGGGTATATTAAGTTTATCAATTGGTATTGGGATTCTTCAGCCTCCTTATATAGTGGTGGAAAGTCATAACAGTAACATAGACTGCTTGTATATCTAACTCTTATTGGTTCAGCATGAAAGTTGATTAATTCTATTAAGGTTGATTTTGTGATAGGGTTCCGTTGGGGAAGCTTTGTTGGTCCCATTGGTATTGTTACATACATACATTTTCCGTCTGGGAGAAATTTTAATAGTCGTTTACAGCAATTCATGTAGTTTATTATATAATATAGTGAGTCATAAAATCCAGAATTGAGGTCTTGTTTCATTACTCTTGCTCTAGTGCTTAACACGTAATATATTGTAAAGTTATAAAAAATGTTGTCAGTTTTAATTAAACGCAGTGCCTTAAGGTATGAAAATAATCCTGGGTACAAACATACCATTCCAGATTTTAAAAGAAAAATTTTTCTTCGTCCCTGTGGTGTTTCTACTGTTATACTTCCCTTGATTTCGTGGTCATTTTCGTCGAAGACTATCATTGTTCGTTCTTGGGTTCTTTCATTTTCAATTGTGTTGGAAATGTATAAGCAATCATTTAATATTGCATTGTACGCGAGGTTTGATAGCGTTTGTGGATTTCTCATTGGATTTTCAAGGGTTTGTAATATTCTCTTTATCATGAAGGGGAATTCGAGTTGTCGAAGTTCTCTTGGTTTATAATTCACACACGGGCGAAATGCACTTATAAATGTACTCATTATGGTTGTAAAATTTGCCTAAATTTAGATATGAAATTGCCCCTGAACCTAATATTCCCGTAAGAAATAGTGTACTGTCGGAAAGTATTACCTCGAAATTAAAATTTTTTCCTTCTATTTTGGCCATTTTTCTTCCGATTGATACTATGGGCTCTTCATTTAAAAAAAATACGATGTTATTAGCATATCTCCAGAAATTACAATTCAAATCTTCTGCAAATATGAAGTTCTTTTGTGTACTTGGAAGTAGATAGAAGTCTAAAAGTCCTCCCTTAAATTCATCTGCCTTTAGTGTTACATAAGTCATCAGTATTGTTTTCCTTTTATTACATATAATTTTGTCTGTAAAAAATATTTTCGTACGTCAATTGTTAGGCTCAGAATTAATTTTTGATTTCTTTAATCTATTAATATGGACTATTAAAGGTTTTCCTTTAAAGTTAATTTTTACATTACCTTTTCCTAATATTTCTAAAATTTCATAAGGACCTGAGTATTGGTTTTCTAGTTTTTTAATTTTTCCTCCGTTTAATAAAAATACAAAGTCGCCATTTTTTATTTCTAGGGGATTAATTTTTCTATCATGATAAAATTTCGATTTTTCCTTTGCCGAAATTAAATTTTCCCTTGCTTGTGCTCTCATTTCGTGTAATTGTGTAACAAAGGTAGTTAAATATTCATCGTATGTTTGTAATTTTTCGTTTTGAGAAGGAGATTCGCTAGAGGGTTCACGAGCTAATTTTCCAAAGACAAGTTCGTATGGTGTGCATTTTGTTCCTTCGTGTATGCTAGTATTGTAAGAAAACATTGCTAATTCTAACCAATCGTCCCATTCAGAATTTTTCTCAATAAATTGTTTTAAGTATTCTGCTAAAACATGATGCGAACGTTCGAGTGATCCATTAGATTGAGGGTGAAAAGCTGTTGTACGAAATTGTTTAATTCTAAAACGTTTTGCTAATCTTTTTAATAAATTGCTCAAAAGTCTCTTCCCTGGTCTGTTAGTACGCCTTTAGGTGAACCGAATATGCAAATGAATTTTTTCACGAATGCGTCTGCTATTGTAGCAGCTTGATGATTAGGTAAAGGGATTGCTAAAGAGTATTTTGTAAAGTTATCTTGAATTGTTAAAATGTACGTGTTGCCAGATTTAGTTGGAGGGTTAAAAGGTCCTACAATATCCATAGAAATTTTTTCAAAAGCAGTTGTAGGTGTGTCTGTGATAATCATTGGATTTTTAGTTTTTACGCGAACTAATTTCTTTAATTGACATTGTAAACATCCGTTTATGTATTTTTGAATATCTATTTTTAAATTTTCCCAATAATATTTTTGACGAATTCTAGCTAAAGTTTTTGTTACTCCCTTATGGCCTCCGATTGCCGATGAATGATTTTCTTCTAATATCTGTTGTCTAATTTCTTTATTAGGGTATTGCGTAATCCCATTACAAATTATAAATTTTGTTTTAGATTTTGAAAAAATATCTTGAATTAAAATTTTAATATCTTCCCAAGGAATGTGATTAATTTGAGATGTTTTTGCTATACTAATACTGCGAATGTTTAGTTTATCACTAATTGAAAGTAAAGAGTTAAAACATGATTTGATTGTATTTAGAGTATCAGTTAAGTTTTCTTTGACATTTTCTTGAATTGGAAGTGCAAAATGATAATATTTTCCCTTTTTAAATTCTTTTACTAAACCTTTTTGTAAATTATTAAATTTGGGTAGAATTGATTTTTTTGTTAAACTTTTAGATCCATTGTCGAGAGGGGTACCGTTAGTACTTACAAAATATAAATAATTGTCTTTTCGCATTGTTAATTGGTCACGACATTCTATCAAAATTTTATTACTCGTAGATTGTTTTTCTTGAACAGGAGGTGCTTGAGTAATTTCTTCTTTTCTTCTTAGATTACGCCCTTTGTCTTTGTTATTTTCTTCAATTTCACTTTCTTGTATTTTATCTTTTTCTTCAAAAATTTCTTCGTTATCCATGGCGTCTTGAAAGATTTCATTTTCTTCTTCATAAAATTCTTCATCGAGGGATTCTTCGAATATGTCGTCATCTTCTTCTGAACTATCATCTTCTGTTGATGAAAAGTAAGTTTCATTGTCTTCATTTGGTTTTTCTTGAATTACGATTTTGTTTCTCTTCTTCCCCTTTGTCTTTTTAAGTCGTTTATTTCTTCTTAATTCATCAAAGTATTCTGGATCAGTTTCTTCTTCAGCTTTTGAGATTGGCTTCTTGTCTTTCCTCGGCCTTCCTCTTCTTTTGGTACCAACCTTGTCTTCTTGTATGGGAAGTTTATTTTTTAATTTTTTAGGACGACCTCTTGACCTCTTGATAATGGGCTGCAATATTTTTTCTACGTTTTCCGTAAGTTTTTCTTGAATTCCCGTTTCTTCTAATTTTCGTTGTGCCCTAGTGAGAATGGTTTTCCATTGTGTGTTTGTAATGTAATCACTAAGTATTGGGTTAAGAAGAGTAGTTAATAAGAGTAATAATGTAGACGTATTATTATCACTATCGCGAATATTTTCACTTGATTTTTTATTATCCCCGAATGTTAAAAATGTATCATCGTCGAGCACCTTTTGATTTCTAAATAATTCTTCTTCGTTAGGAATTGGATTTCTTGAAAGAGCGTCTGCATTCACGTTCATTTTACCTGCCTTGTACACTACTTCATAGTTATATTCTGCTAATTTTAATCTCCAACGCGAAACACGTGAACAAGGATCCTTCGAATTTTGAAACCATACTAATGGTTTATGATCAGTTACTAAAGTAAATTTTCTACCGTATAAATATGGTCGAAAATGAGATACGCAAAAAATAATAGCTAATGCTTCCTTCTCGTAAGTGTCATATTTCTTTTCCGTATCGCTTAAGCTTCGAGATGCATATGCAATAGGCTTGTCTTTTCCTATTTTCCCTTGTGAAAGTATTCCTCCAATCGCGTAACCTGATGCGTCTGTTGTAAGCACGAAGGGTTGGGAAAAATCTGGTCTTTGTAAAAGAGGTTCTTCGCATAAATGTTGTTTTAATGTGTCAAAAGCTAATTGTTGTTTGTCTGACCAAATAAAAGGTGTATCCTTTTTTAAAAGTTGGTTTAGTGGATGTGCAATTTTAGAAAAATTTTCAATAAATCTTCTATAATATCCTGCTAATCCTAAAAATTGTTTAATGTTCTTTGTTGTTTTCGGTATAGGAAAATTTTTAATCGCAATAATTTTCCTTGGATCGGGTCGAACACCATTTTTATCGATAATGTGTCCTAAATATCCTACTTCCGGTCGTAAGAATTCGCATTTGTCTGGTTGTAAATGAAGATTTGCGTTTCTAAGTCGTTCAGCTAAATTATTAAATTTTCTTTCATGTTCTTCGAGTGTGTCTGCGTAAATAACAATGTCATCAAGGTAAACAAAAAGTTACTGTTCCAATTAGTCCAGTTAATGTTAAGTCCATAAGTCTTTGGAATGTCGCGGGTGCTGTTTTTAAACCAAATGGCATTCTATCAAATTCATAATGACCATGAGGTGTTGAAAAAGCTGTCTTGTGTGAGTCATTGGGATTCATTCTTATATGATGAAATCCGGTTGCTAGGTCGAAAACAGAAAAGTATTTTGCGGAAGAAATTGAGTCAAGTATATCATTTATATGAGGTAATGGATATGAGTCACCTATAGTTTTTTCGTTTAGTTTTCGAAAATCTAATACCATTCGCCATTTTAAATTTCCGCTTGAGTCAGGTTTTTTAGGTACGATCCATACCGGTGTGTTATAAGGTGATTGAGAAGGTTTAATTATTTTATTTTTTAAAAGTTCATTTACTTGTTTAGTTATTTCGTCTTTGTGAATTTGAGGAAAACGGTATTGTCTTGAAAATATTGGGCAGTCATCTGTAGTTGGTATTGAATGTCTTAAAATATTAGTTGCTTCTAAAGGTTCTTCAGGCATTTGAAATCTGTCAGCGTTATTTTTTATAAGATTTTCTACATGATCGTATTCGTCTTGGTTTAAATGGTCTAAACGAAGAAGTCGTTTTATTTCTTCTATTCTGTCTTCAATTGTCATTTTATTAAAAGTACAAAAATTTTCTGATATTAAAAAATTATTTAGTAAATTATTAGTCATGTCATTGTTATCAAATTTTTGAGTTTGTGTGATAGATGTATAAGGGTTGATTTCTTCAAATTCTTCTAATTTGATTGTAGGAATTGAAATAGTTACTGAAGTTTCATTAGTGTTTGCAAATTTTAAAAATGTTTTATTATCGTAATTTTTTACTACTGCGTCTCCGGCATAAATTCCTGAACCTAAATTCAATCTTGGTATGTAACCTTCATTTTTATTAGTTTCGTCAAGAAAAACTGTAGTTGTTATTATCGTTCGTGCTGGTATTGTTAAAATTTTTGTGGAAACAAAAGGATAAAGATTATTATCTATCTCTAAACATTTTGAAGTGTAATTAATGTTTACGTTGTTGTCTCGAAAAAATTCTGTCCCTAAAACACCGTCTTCGTCTACTGGAACTGCATCTGGGATAATATTAAATATTGTTTGATGACCAAAAATATTTAATTTTATTTGCCCTAAAGTGTAAAGAGGTAAATCATTTATTCCGATTAATTTTAAAATATTTTCTGTGTCAATTGGAATTCTTGGATCAATTGCTTTTAATTTTAATAAATTTCTTCCAACTCCAGTATCTATCATCATTCGAGCTGGAAATTTTAAACCGTCGGCAGAGATAATAATTGAGGGAATTGTATTTGTTTGCGAATTGTTTAAAGTAATTTGTTCTTTTGAAACGGGTGTTTTTAAATTTATTCTACCCTCAGTCCACCCTTGCTGGGGGTTGAATTCAAGTTTCCCGAAAAATGAGGTTGTAGTTCTTGTGATTTTTGAATATGGTGTGATTGAGATTGTGATTGTTGTTTAGAATATTGTTGTTTGTTGTATGATTCTTCTCTTCTAGGAGGTCTAATTTTACATTCATTAATATAATGACCTGATTTTTTACAATAATTGCAAGTTATATCTTTTTTGAAAAATCTCTGATTATTATTATTATTATAGTTTTTATTATTATAATTATTATTATTATAATCGTTATTGTTATTGTATCGTGAAGTTTGAAAGTTTCTAGAAAGTTTATTCATAAAATTGTTAGAGTTATTATTTTTATTTCTGTAAAAATTGTTACCATTGTTAAAGGGATTTCTATTTTTTGAGAAATTTTGATTATTAAAATTGGGTTTTGAAAATCCTTGTGTTTGTCTTGGTGGACTGTATGTTTTATTTTGTTGTTTTGAAAAGAAACAGTTTTCTGTTTTATGATTTCGTCTCTTACAAATTGAGCAAGGTAAAACAGAATCTTGTAAGGAGTGTATTTTTATAGCTTTATGATCCTCATTAATTTTGCTTTTTCGAAGATCTGAACTAGCACTTAAATTCCTTTCTATATCAATCGCGTCGTTTACTATCTCTCGGAATGTGGGTTTTTCTTTCAAACGAATTTCTATTTCGGGTCTTAATCCGCGCACAAAGCAATGCTTCACGTCTTTTTCTAGATTTTCTTTAAAAACATCGTCAACTGCATTGTTATTACCTAACCTGTGAACATCTTCAATTTTATCAGCAATTTCTTTTATTCGCGCAGCATAAGATGTAATATTTTCCTTTTCCCACATATATATATTTCCTAATTCTCCCTGTAATTGGTACACTGTTTTAGCTGGCAAATATACGCGTTTTAATTTATTTATTAATTCGCCTACATTTGCTATTTGAGTTCCGTAAATACATTTTCGCGCATCCCCACTTAATTTTGCTCTTAATAATTTTGCTAAATTATTTCGAGCTACTCCTTCTGGAAGCATTTGCTCTGCTTCTAAACACCCTTCAATAAAATGTGAGATTGGAATGTTAGTCCCGTCAAACAAAGGAACTATTTCTAAAGCGTCACGTAAAGATACTTGTTGATTTGTTGGTAGAGCCATTTCGTTATTTTCTGTAAAATTTTCACTATCACTGTTCTCGTCGTGACTGTTTTCGTCGTCACTGTCGTGTGTGCTAATTATGGAATTTTCGAGTCTTTGTTTAAAGCTATTTCGTAATGTAGAATTTAAAGAACCGTTATTTTCTAAAATTGTATTGTCACTTTCTTCGTCAGTTTTGAAAGAGTTATCAAATAATGAATGACAAATTCCTGAATCTAATTCGGATTTGCAAAAAGGGTTTGGATTTTCGTTAGAGTATCTAGGTGTACCAGTAGCTAAAGGTTTAAAATAGGGAATTCCTGGGTTAAGTTTTAAAGTAGGGTTTTCTTTGATTTTTGATCGAGTTGTATGTTTATCTTGTGTAATATTTTCCTTAGAAGTAGACATTAATTTTTAAAAGAAATGATTTAATCATTGGAATTGATTCTCTCTCGGTTTGTGTTTCAATTTTTTATTAAATTTTAGAATTGTTAAAAATAAGAGTTAAAAATTGATTTTAAATGTTTCAAATTTTAATAGAAAATTTTAGAATTGTTAAAAACATGTATATTTTTTATATCTCAAAATAAATTTTTGGAAAAAATAAGAATTAGAAAAAATAATATCATTGATTCTTTATGGCTTTCCCGGCCGATGCACCAAGAAAAGAGGGTATGTTACGTGAAAAGTAACTCACCTCTTAACATTTGTTATCCTCGTTTTAAATAAGAAATTCCGAAGAAATCTTATTTGGGAATGAGGAAAAAGAATCAATGAATAAAAGTTAAGAATTAGTTAAAATGAAATTTATTATAAAATAGTATATAATGATTTCTTGAAGTTCTTTATTTGTATGTTGCCGAGAGAAGACCAGTTCCAATAAACACCTTTAACAAATAGGCGTTTATTAGATATAGAAATTGTATCGAAAGAATATGATGAAAAGATTTAGTTAATTACCTTTATTGCTTCTTTGTGAAGTTGAAAACCCGTTCTCCGCTCGTGCGTCCACAGTCAGTTCAGATGCACCGCCTTTCCAATTTTTACTGCTTGGAGATTTGACAACGGCTTGGTCTCACACGAGATGGGTATTACTTAGACTGGGATAATCGTAGGTAACGAGTAAAGATTCGCACTGACTACTGGTACAGAGATGATGTCGATCGGTTTGATTTAAATTAGATACTGATTTTTGGATCCAAATTTAGGGCCTTATATACCCAGATCACATCCGTGTATCGACGTAATAGGGTTGTAAAAAGATTGCTCATCGATGGGTGTTTGTCAAGTTTGCTTGGTAACAGGTCTGGTCTAAGGTTACTTAGAGGTCACACACGTGGCATGTGACAATATTGTGGCATTTAAAATATTATAATTATAAATTTTTATAATGAAATTATAATGATTTTTTTAAACTACATTTTAATTAATTAGAAATTTAATTTCAATAAAATTATTAACATTAATTTACCTCTATTTGGTTTTAATTAAAAATAAATTTTTTAATAAAAATAATTTTTAAGTGCAAATTAAATGTTATAATATTTTAACTATTATTCATTTGAATTTAAAATATTCAATAAAATAATGTAAGGTAAATAGTTATTAAATAAATTAAAAGTATTTTATCAATTTTGATAAAATTGTTGAAATAAAAATAATTAGAAGTTTTAAAAAATAAAATTGAGGGGAATGAAATTTTTAAATAAAAGAAAGCAAAAATTGTCGATAAGCATAGTATAATAAATGAAATAAAAAAGTATGAATTTAAAGTAAAAATTTTAATTAATAAAACTTTTAAATAAAAATTAATTGTTGGAGGTAATATGGTAAAAAAGATTATTAAAATTAAAATTAAATTTTTGTTATAAAATGGAATAAAATGAATATCATGAATAAAAGTTAAATTAAAAAAATTAAATAAAAGTGTAGTGATAAATAAAATAATAAAGTAAATTATAAAGTAATAAGATCATATTGAATAGTCTCAAATTAACAAATTTAGAAATCAAGTTATTTGATTTATAGATGAGGATCTAATAATAAGTTTTAACAAATTAGTATTTATAATTATAAAGAATCTGGAAATTAAGTTAAAAATTAAAATTAAGTAAATTAAATTAATTATATAAGGAGTTTCTTTAAATGAATTAATATTATGAAATAGATAGAAAGGTAAAATTTTTTGTAAAGTTATTAATAAAAAATTTCTTGATCAATCTATATTAATTAATAAATGTATATATCATCATAAAAATGGTCAAGTTCCTATTTTTATTAAAATGGATAATAAAATTATTATTAAAAATAAGGTTGAATAGTTTATTAAAGAATAAAAGAATATAGATATTAATATTAAAGAGGATCTAAATCTTTGGATTAGAAAATATTTTATAAAAATATCTTTATTGGAAGGGGTGTTTAAAAAATAT